AGAAATGGCTCGTAGAGATTTCTTTACAAAAGTATAGTTTGGCATCTCTCATAACTTTATGTAGATAAATTCTATGCATAATTAGGAGACAATTATAATATTTCATAAAGGTCATGAAGACCTACACAGAACTGCCCTATAGACAACCGACATTGGATGAAAATAATTGGTGCTGAAAATTTAAAGCTAAAGGTGCAGCTTCGCTTGCTTATTGAACTGACAGAATCATTAATTTTGCCCAATATCTCATAGCTGGCTGGTAGTTGTAGTCTATTGCTCTCGTCTATGTGCTAATAACAGATGTATATGCATAAATTAAAAGCATAACAATTACTTTGTTTTCTAGAACCTAAAAAGCATATCTCAGAGATATTGCAAGTTCAGTTCCAGACCACTGCAATAAAGCGAATATCACAGTTAAGTGAGTCATGCCATTTTTTGTTACCCAGTGCATATACAAATTATGTTTATACTATACTATAGCCTATTAAGTGAGGAATAGCATTATGACTTAAAAATAACATGCATACCTTAATTAAAAGTATTTACTAATAAAAAATGCCAGTGATCATCTGAGCCCTCAGAAAGTCAATCTTTTTGGTGGTGGGAGGGTCTTGTTTTGATGTTGATGACTGCTGACTGATCAGGATGGTGGTTGCTGAAGGTGAGAGTGGCTGTGGCAATTTCTTGTTTTTTTTTCTTTTTTCTTTTTGAGATGGAGTCTTGCTATGTAGCCCAGGCTGGAGTACAGAGGTGTGATATTGGCTCACTGCAACCTCTGCCTCCTGGATTCAAGCAATTCTCCTGCCTCAGCCTTCTGAGTAGCTGGGATTACAGGCACCTGCCACTATGCCCAGTTAATTTTTGTATTTTTTGGTAGAGACAGGGTTTCACCATGTTAGTCAGGCTGGTCTCGAACTCCTGACCTCAGGTGATCTACCCACCTCGGCCTCCCAAAGTGCTGGGATTATAGGCGTGAGCCACCGTGCCTGGCAGCAATTTCTTAAAATAAGACAACAGTGAAGTTTGCCACATGAATTGAATCTTCCTTTCCCAGAGAATTCTGCTTTCAAAAAATGTGATGCTGTTTGATAGTATTTTACCCACAGTAGAACTTCTTTCAAAACAGGCATCAATCTTCTCTAACTCTGGCACTGCTTTATCTGTTAAGTTTACGGAATATTCTGAATCCTTTATGGTCACTTCTACAATGTTCACAACGTCTTCACCAGGAGTATGTTCTGCCTCAAGAAACCACTTTTTTTGCTCATCTATAAGAAGTAATTCCCCATCTATTCAAGTTTTATCAAGAGCCTGCAACAATATAGTCATACACACAGGCCCCACAACTAATTCTAGCTACCTTGCTATTTCTACTATATCTGCAGTGGCTTCCTCTACTGAAGTGTCGACTTCTCATAGTCATCCATGAAGGTTGGAATCATCCTCTTCTAAACTCCTGTTAATGTTGCCATTTTGACCATTTTCCATGAATCATGAATGTTCTTAATGGCATCTGGAGTGATGGATCCTTTCCAGAATAATTTCAATTTACTTTGCTCAAATCCATCAGAGAAATATCTATCTATGGCACTTATAGCCTTATGAAATTTATATCTTACACAACAAGACTTGAAAAGTTAAAATTATGCCTTTATCTATGGCCTGCAGAATAGATGTTGTGTTAGTAGGCGGGAAAACATTAATCTCTTTGCACATCCCTGTCAAAGCTCTTGAGTGACCAGGTACATTGTCAATGATCAATAATATTTTGAAAGGAATCATTTTCCTGAGAAGTAAGTCTCAACAGTGAGGTAAAATTATGAGTAAACCATGCTGTAAACCGATGTGCTGTCATCAAGGCTTTGTCATTCCATTAATAGACCACAGGCAGAGTAGATTTAGCATAATTATTAAGGGGCCTAGAAATTTTGGAATAGTAAATGAGCATTAGCTTTCACTTAAAGCCACTAGTTGCCTAAGCGTTGAAGCCAGGCATTGACTTCTATTATCTATCTATGGAAGCCCTAGATGGCATCTTTTAACAGTACAAGGCTATTTTGTTTATATTGAAATCTGTTTAGGATAGTCTCTTCCGTCAATAGTTGAAATTGTTTAGATGTTTCTCCCCTACAAATCTGATGTTGAAACGTAATCCCCAGTGTTGGAGGTGAGACCTGGGGGGAGGTATGTGGGTCATGAAGGAAGATTCTTCATGATTGATGGCTTAGTGTCATCCCACTGAAGATGAATGAGTTTTTGCTGTGAGTTCACATGATATCTGGTTGTTTAAACATGTGTGGCACCTCTCCCCTCTGTCTCTTGCTCCTGCTATTGCCATGTGACATGTCTGCTCCTTCTCCTTCTTCCATGTGTAAAAGTTTCCTGAGGCCTCACCATAAGCCCAGCAGATTACAGCACCATACTTATAAAGCCTGTAGACTCATGAGCTAATTAAATGTCATTTCTTCATAAATTATCCAGCCTCAGGTATGTCTTTATAGTGACATAATGGACTAACATAGAAAACTGTACTGAGGGCCAGGCACAGTGGCTCATGCCATAATCCCAGCACTTTGGGAGACTGAGGCAGGTGGATCACCTGAGGTTAGGAGTTTGAGACAAGCCTGGGCAACATGGTGAAATCTCATCTCTACTAAAAATACAAAAATTATCTGGGCATGTGGCACATGCCTGTAATCCAAGCTACTTGGGAGACTGGGGCAGGAGAATCACTTGAATCCAGGAGGTGGAGGTTGCAGTGAGTTGAGATCACACCATCACACTCCAGCCTGGGTGACAGAGTAAGATTTCCTATCAAGAAAAAAAAAAAAAGAAAGAAAGAAAAAGAAAAAAAAAAGAGAAAATTGTACTGAGAAATGGGACATTGCTATAAAAATACCTGAAAATGTGGAAGTGGTTTTGGAACTGGCTAATGGGCAGAGGTTGGAAGAGTTTGGAGGGCTTAGAAGAAGGAAGGAAGATGAGGAAAAGTTCATAACTTGTTAAAGACTGGTTAGGTGATTGTGACCAACATGCTGATAGAAATATGGACAATGAAGGCCAGGCTGATGAATTTTCAGTTGGGAACGTAGAAGTTATTGAGAACCACAGTAAAGGTAAACCCTGTTACACCCTAGCAAAGAACTTGGCTGCATTATGTTCATGTCCTAGAGACCCATGAAGTTTAAACTTAAGAGCGATGACTTACCATATCTGATGGAAGAAATTTCTAAGCAGCAAGGTGGTCAAGAATCCTGTTAGAATACCAGATGCTTCTAAAAATGTAAATCATGTAGGAGCAAAGGAATGAGTTAACATTGGAACTTGTAAAAGGGAAGCAGAACATAAAAGTTAGGAAAACTCACCACCTGGCCCTGTGGTAGAGAAAGAATTTAGGTAGGCTGTAGAGCAAACAGTTTCTAGACACAGTAGCATGACTAAAAGGCAGCCAAGTACTAATATCCAAGACAATGGGAAAAAGGTCTTGAAGGCATTTCAGAAGTTTTTAAGACAGCCTCTCACATCACAGGCCCAGAGGCCTAGGAGGAAAAACGATTTTAGGTACCAGTCCCAATGTGTTACTGTCCTACTCAACCTCAGGAAACTTCTTCTCATGTTTTGGCTGCTCTGGCTCCAGCCTTGGCTCAAAGGGGCTCAGGCACAGCTCAGGCCACAACTCTGGATTGTGTAAGCCATAAGCCTTGGCATTGTCTACATGATATTAAGTCAGTGCATGGAATGAAAGAGTGAAGGAGGTTTGGAAGCTTTCCCCTAGATTTCGGAGGATGTATGAGGAAACCTAGGTGCCCAAGAAGAAGCCTGCTGCAGAGGGAGAACCCTCACAGGGAGACTACTAGGTAAGTGCAGAGAGCAAATGTGGGGTTGGATCCCCCTCTAAGAGTTCTCCCCACAAGCACACTACCTAGTGAAGCTGTGAAAAGGGGGCTGCTGCCCTCCAGACTCCAGAATGGTATACTGATGGGCAACTCGCATCCTGAGCCTGGAAATGTTACAGGCACTCAACTCCAACCAGTGATAGCAGTCACAGGGCTGCAACCTACAAAGCCACAGGGATAGAGCTGCCCAAGGCCTTAGGGGCCCAATCCTTGCCCTAGTATGCCCTGGATGTGGGACATGGAGTCAAGGAGATTATTTTGGTGCTTTCAAATTTAATGCCAACCCTGCTGGGTTTCAGATTTGCATGGGGCCTATAGCCCTTTTCTTTTGTCCAGGTTCTTGCTTTCAAAATGGTAGTGTTTATCCAATGCCTGTACTGCCATTGTATCTTGAGAGTAAACAACTTGTTTTGATTTTATAGGCTCATAGGTGAAAGATGAGTCTCAGATGAAACTTAAGATTTTGAACTTGATGCTGGAATGAGTTAAGACTTTTGGAGACTATTGGCAGGGTGTAACGGGATTTTTCAATGTGAGATAAACATGAGATTTGGGGGGCAAATTACATGGTTTGTAGGTTTATCTCCTCTAACTCTAATTTTGAAATGCAATCCTCAGTGTTGGAGGTGGGCCTGGTGGGTGGTGTTCAGATCATGGGGAAAGATCACTCATGAATGGATTAGCACCATCCCCTTGGTGATGAGTGAGTTTTCATTCTGAGTTCACATGGGCTCTGGTTGTTCTGGTTGTTTAAAAGAATGTTCCCCACCTCCCTTGCCACCTTGTTCCCTTTTTCACCGTGCCATGTACCTTCTCTGCCTTCACCTTAAGACACTAGTAAAAGGTCCATGAGGCCTCACCAGGAGCCGAGCAGATGCCAGTACCATGCTCGCACAGCCCACAGAGCCATGAGCTAATAAAAGCTTTCTTTACAAATTACCCATCCTCACGTACTTCTTTATAGCGATGCAACAGACAAACACAACTGTCCTAGCTATATCTTCTGGACAACTTGCTGCAGCACTTGTTGCTTTACCTTGAACTTTTGTGTTATGGAGATGGCTTCTTTCCTTACACACGATGAACCAACCTCTGCTAGCTTAATAATTTTCTTCTGCAGCTTGCTCCCCTCTCTCAGCCTTCACAGAACTGGAGAAAGTTAAGGCCTGACTTTGGATTAGGTTTTGGCTTAAGGGAATGTTGCGGTCCCTTTGATCTTCTATGCACACCACTCAAACTTTCTGCATATCAGCAACAAGGCTGTTTCAGTTTCTTATCATTTATGTGCTCACTGCAGTAGTACTTTCAATTTCCTTCAGGAACTTTTCCTTTTCATTGACAACTTAGTCGACTATTTGTCACAAGATGCCTAGCTTTGGCCTATCTCAGCTTTTTACATGTTTTCCTCACTAAGCTTAATCATTTCTAGCTTTTGATTTAAAGTGAGAAACATGTGACTCTTCACTTGAACAGATGGAGGCCACTGTTGGGTTATTGATTGGCCTAATTTCCATATTCTTGTGTCTTAGGGGATAGGGAGGCCAGAAGAGAGGGAGGCAGACACAGGAATGGCTGGTGGGTGGGGCACCGAAAAATCATACAACATCGAATAAGTTCATCGTCTTATACTGGACACAGTTCACAGTGTGCCAAAACAATTACTACGGTAACATGAAAGACGACCGATCACCTCTTGCTTGTAATCACCAGTCACCTCTTGCCTGTAATCCTAGCCGCTCAGGAGGATCACTTGAGGCCAGGAGTTCCAGATCGGCCTGAGCAACACAGCAAGGCACCACCTCTAACAAAATTTTACCAAAAATAGGCTAGCCGGGTGCAGTGGCTCAGGCATGTGGTCCCTCATAACTGGAGGCTGGGGTGGGAAGATCCCTTGAACCCAGGAGGCTGCAGCGAGCTATGATTGCCCTACTGCACTCTGGCCTGGGTAACAGAACAAGGCTGTCTAAGAAAAAAGAAAAGATCATCAATCACAAATCACCATAACAGATAAAATTATAATGGAAATTTGAACTATGGCAAGAATTACCAAAATGTGGCATGGAGACATGAAGTGACCACATGCTGTTGGAAAAATGGTGCTGGTAGACTTGGTTATTGCAGAGTTGCCACAAACCTTCAATTTGTTTAAAAAAAAAAAAGCAGTATTTCTAAAGCACAATAATTGCAAAACGTATTAAATGAAGTGCAATAAAACAAAATATACCTCTACCACATGAGCTTCATTGAGAGGGAGACAGCGAGAGAGAGACGGAGAGCGAGGGAGAGAGGAAGGCAAGGAGGATGACAAAGAGGAAGTTGCCCCCAGCCAGGACTAGGACGAGCTGGAGAGGCTGCGTCCTCCATCTGTAGGGTCACACTGAGGCCTGAGCACTCCTGCAGGAAAGCAAGCCTTTCCAAATAATGTCTCTATGAGACCGGAGGATCTTCTTTTCTTCAAAGCAGGTTTGGATTTGGGATGGATTTTGGTTTTGTTTCCCTCCTCTCTACTTTTTAAATGGTGTTCTTATCTTTAATTCACTTTCAGCCCTCACCCCTGGTTGTCATCTTTCTTGATCAACATCTTTTCCCGATTCTGTCCCCTTCTTTCCCCAGATCTCTTCGCTACCCTCAAACCCAGGGATCGGCAGTGTGGACAGGAAGTCACAGGCCTGAGACTCAATCTGCTCTCCTTCCTGGAGCCTGGATAAGGCCAGGAGAAGGAGATGGTGTTTCCCAGCCCCCCAGCACTGAGGAACAATGGAGTTCATACCACTTCACCCTTCCCTTTCTTTCCTGCTCCCAGGACTGGGCCACTTCTGGGTCAGTGGACCCTAGCTCAGCTCACACTGAGAATATAAGAATGTGTGCGTGTGTGTGTGAAGTTCAACTTCTCCCTTTAGGGACCTATAATTCCTTCTGATGGCAAAGGTCCAAGTCTAAGTAACCAGGGGTTTACTCAGTCCCAAGCATATGGGGGAGGTTGCATCAGTCAGGGTTCCTGAAGAGAAACAAACACTCCAATTGAACAAATAGATGATACACATTTAGGGGGTGATACACATATAAACAGGGACTTATAATAGGGTCCATGCCTTATTAAAATGTGAAAGCCAGTTAATCAGTCTCAGCAAGGCTTCTGTCTTTGCATCAGATGCTGAAACCCAAGGTCAGCAGGGTAGTCGGGAAGAGGTGATGCAAAGTAGAGGAAGCAAGGGGAAAAGGAATGCATGAGGAATGTCTGGAGCTCACAAGGACTGTCTGGGACCCATGTTGATCTTTCACTGCCTCCAACCTCCTATTTCAATGACATCAATGCCCTTAACATAAAACTGGTATTCTTTTTTATGGAGCCAGTGAAGAAGGAAGATATGAGGGAGAACTGGAGCAGGTGTGGGCCCAGATGCTGCCCCACACCAACAAGGTAAGCCAGGATAGAAGCAAAAATGTTCATGAGCCACAGCAGCGCCTTTCTAAGCATAAAGCACAAAATAAATGTGGCTACTACTTTACCTTTGCCTCCCAAATCTTTTACCAAATGCCTCTTGTATCACAAGGAATCTCGGACCCATTCAGGGAACTTGGAGGAAACTTTTAGTTTAGCTAAGTAAGCAGAATATAAATCCCCCACAGAGGCAGACCTTCCAAACAGCAGGTGGAAAAATAACTGCATAATTTATCTGCTTTCACTTTTGCTCACACTGACACCGGGTGTCACTTGGAATCCCAAACGATTTTTTTAATGTTTTGTTAATATTATTGCTGGTATGCATCCCATGAAGTTGTACAGGGGGCCCAAACTTGGAATTCTAGTTTATAACTCTCTTCATATGCCTATAAATTCTCTTTTCGAACTCTTAGGATCCTTTCCTGACAGCAGAGCTTGATAGGGGCTTCTTGAGGCTCCCAGACCCCAGGGCAGTTGTCCCTAGCTTTGGATCTCAGTGAGCACAAACTTCAGTCAAGTTGTGTTCCATCCGAAATTCTAATCTCGTTACGCAAATTATATTTTCCCAAAGAAACAGAGATAATACTTATCTCAAGAAGTATTACCAAAGAAAAGCCATTGTCAAGACACAGGATGTTTCATTACATCCTTCTTTTCCAGGAAAAGACGGCAACGAATGGTGCGGCATGGTTCATGGGTGCTGGGGGAAAGGTGATCTTTTAATTCATTCATACAAATGACACATACAAAATAAAGATGAATATATTTATTGGTCAGTAATTGGACATCCAGTATCCTTATTTAATATATATTAAATAAGGCTTAAAAGAATTTTTAAAGCAATTTAAGCAGCAAAGAGAATTTTAAACAATGTGAGCGTGTCAAATAGGATTTTTCTACCAACTACACCAAATGGTTATGGGTCAGCATAAACAATTTTTACAGCAACTTGTTCTTAAAAGTTAATTAAAATGTATTTTCAAATATGAGAGATTTTTATACCAGTAGCTGGCATTTATAGGAAATGGCTGTTCCAGGAGGACTTCCTGGAAGGTCACCCTTTGGGAGTTCCCAACCGTAACACTTCAAGAACACTTAATGCACAGAGAAAATGATGTCATGTGATCAGACTTAATTTAGTTCTTACCAGCTACGCTGTACCCAAATATTTCAAAATTGTTAACATATGGATTCAGAAAATGTAGATAATCTCACATTGTTTATTCTGAGGGGATGAATTATCTGATTAGAAATTAATTTACACACTACTCATCTTTTCCCTCTCTCAGACTGTGTGTGTGTGGCCAAGTGTCAGCATCAACAGAGCAAAACTATAGTTTGTGTTATTTTACTTCTAAAGAAGAAACATATTTTTGAAATTTTCAGGTCAACTGAAGAACTTGATCTTCAGAAAAATTGTTAAAGATGTAAAAATGTAAAACGGTCATCGTTACCAGAATGTCAGAATTGAGTAGATGCATCCAATAAGGCTATTAATTTCTTTAAACAAAATTAGGAAATTTTAGAGGTCAACTATTAGGGAACAAAGGAAAAGAGGTAAGTTGTGTATGCACTCACGTAAGAATAAGGGGTAACAAAAGAGGCATAAGGAAACCATGAGGAAAGAAATGAGAAAGAAGGAATGTGTGGAAGGAAGAAAGGAGAGAGGAAAGAATGGAAGAGATGGTTTTCAGTGCGAATCGTGGAAAGCAGAAGACAAAAAGCAAATCTATTAATCTATTGACAATTCTAATTTAGTCAAACTGCATTGTAAAATCCAGCATACTTAAGTGGCATCTAGCTTGACTGGGTGTGAGGCCTTTGGGATGGTATACATGGCACTCAGTCTTGGCCTTCCTCCTCGGATGTATGTGAGGTGCTGGAAGACTCATCCGATTCTTCTCCTGGGAATCTGGCTCCCCAGCCCTGGTGATGATTTCTCTGTGACAGCTGGCCCCTGAGGAACCAAAGCATGTACTGGTCAAACAAGGTAGCATGGTAAAAATTTTCTTGATCTCGTTCCCACTTGTTCTTCTTCATCACGTCTTTTAAATCAGTAAGTTCAGTGGCAGCTTCAGCTGTGGGTGTCCAGATCTTGACATCATGATCTAGGCCGCTGGTTGCCAACATAGGTAGGTAAGGGTGGGGTTCAAGACAGTTTATTGTACCCTCTGGGTCATCCTTCAACAACTGGATGATCTGGCAAGATGATTTTTCCCAGAAAAAGATGTGCCCACAATCACTACCGCTCACGACAAACTCACTCCTGGGGCCATAGAAATTAACACCTTTGACTGTGGTATTATTTCTGTGTCCCTTAAATCTCTTTGCATACTGAGCACCATCACCGTGAGAGGAGTTGAAGAGGTAGATATCTTCATCACTGTAGCTGGCCAAGAGCTCCGTGCCATCGTGGCTGTACATAGTGCAGGTGATGCATGTTGGGAAATCACAATTAACCAGGTGATGAGGAGTGAATTTCTTGAGTACACCGTGGTTTTCTTTCTTGTCAATTCTCCTCTGGTCATAAATCCTGACAAACTGATCTTGTCCAGCCGCTGCAAATTGGTAGGTATTAGCGGGATTCACAGAAATTGTATATAGTCCCACTCTCTTCCCCTTTTCTCTTGTTATCACAATTTTTGAAGCTGGCTGGTGTTGTCTGAGGTCAATGGTGAAGACAACCGCATCTTCACCTGAAGTGAGGAACTTATAAGGAGAGTCTGGCTGCAGAGCCAACTTGTGGGCAGCTCCGTTGTGCTGGGCCACACACTTAGTACTCTCAAAACATGATGCATTCATTAGTTCTGCTACCCGTACCTGCCCATCGCGGGCACACATGGCCAGGGTGGAGTCAGCACTGTTAGGAAGGAACTTGGCCTGTAAGACATTACTAATGTGACCACTGTCAAAGTCCAATACTGGCTTCTGCCGCACCCAGTCCCACACTCTCACCCTTAGGTCATCACCACTACTGGCCAGCCGGGTGCCACGCTGGTTAAAGTGTACAGTATTGACACAACCCGTATGTCCTTCAAGACGATATTGCAGGCAGAAACGCTGCACAAAGGCTCTTGCCCCACAGGCCTCATAGACAAAGCGGGTACTTAAACCCAGCTGCCGTTGGTGAAGAGCAGTAACGGCCTGCCAGCGAGGTGGCGGCAGGGCAGATGTCTCTGAGGAAGTCCACTCCTCCAGCGCCCTATCCTCTAACAAACACTGCTCATGGTCGGTACCACCACACCGTGGACACATCTGAGCCTGTTCTTCATCCTCTTCTCCCTCCTCGTCTATTTCTTCCTCTTCCTCCTCTACTATCTCGTCCTCTCTTAGTAAATTGTAATAGAATAGTCTTACATCAGGCGTGAGGAAACGCTCAGAGTCCTCCATGCTTTCAAGTTCGACGTCTTCACTTGAACTTTCTTGGTCAGCACTTCGATTTTCTGTGCTGGAACCCTTTGGGAAACCACCATCACTGGTATCACTGCCATCTCCAGTCATTCTCATACTCATATCTAAGGTCGCTGTATCAATGTCTGAGGAGGCCTCCGTCGCTGCTGCCACTCCAGACTGCTCCTCTGGGCTGCTGAACAGGGTTTCAATCCCTGAGTCTTGTAAGCCATCTGCGCTGCCCTCTTGGTGCGACATCTCGTAAGATGTATGCCGTGGCCAATCTGGAGCTGGAAAATCCCGCTCCTAAAATCGCAGGCAAGATGGTTGGCCTGCCGTACGGACTGATGGTTGCGAAGGAAGTAAGCGCATGGCTAAAAGGTGCAATCTGATTGGCTAAAGGGAACAAGAAAGGATTCTGCCAAAGCACTTGTCAGTACGGGAGCCTGTGAGGTTCAAAAGGCTTCTTACCCGCTCACCTCCTCGCGGCATGCAGACTGCTCTAGTTTTTCCAGGCCCAGAGCCCCACCCCCATGGACATCTTACACCATGAGTAGCTGTGGGTTTTTGAAGATTGAAACTTGCTGCACCTTGGAAAATGTTCTTATCAGAGAACCATGAGCAAAAGTGATCCTCCTTTGGGAAAATAGGTTTTAGAAGCCACTCAGTGTTTTGCTTGAAGATAATGTACTGTATGAAATGAAGATGTAGGCCAGAACAACGAAAGTTCAACTTAGTGTCCCACGACTGGTGACTTTTTGACACACAAGAATGATCTCCAATTGAAAAGCTTGAGGGAAAACTTGAGCGCTCTGACTGTTAGAATCGATATACTGTTACCAGGTAAACTATGATATGCATAGTTAATTGCATTTCAGATAAAGGATAAATATTTTCTATAGTATGAGTAGATCTCAAATATTACGTTAGATATATTGCCACTAAAATTTTATTCATTATTTATCTGAAATTAAATTCAATATGGTGTCCTCTATTTTTATTTATTAAATCTGGCAGACTCCTTTAGTGAGAAGAGTTTAGACCTTCGGTGTAGTGAAGGCTGAAATCAACTGATCAATTGAAAACGGACATCGAAATGAGTAATTGCTTCACCTATTTGAGATGGAAGTAGTACTTCCTTTTTTTCTTATTATTCCACCAGAGATTCTATATATTTATTCAGAGTTAATTTAAGATACTTAGGGAACACCAACACGATTTTATGAAAAACATAAAGTATGTGATATCACACCTATGAAAATCTTTTACATATTTCCCAAAATATGTTAGGGGCTTCTGTCGGGCCTCTAGGGAACAGAAAACAACTCTACAGAGATAGTTAAATGGCATTACTCTGTTAATTTAATAGTTTCTCTCAATGAATTATCTAAGGTTGATTTCAGTATATTTTCAAAGGGCTACAGTAAACTGCTGACTAAGAATGCCAGAATGAGGAAAACAAAAGGTTCCCTCAGAGTAGTTGCAAGGTAAATGCAAAATTGATTAAAATTGAAGTATTCAGTCTTCTAAAGAAAGTGGATGGTTCCAAGGCCAATAGTAACAGAAAGATATGTAGAAGAGTATTCATAGCAACGTGTAAAGTCTAGCACAGCAAACTGAAAGCCACTGAAAAGGCCATCAAAAATACCATGGATAAATAATGAAATAATATGAGAAGCGAGAATGAATAGACTAAAATTGAATAGGTGAGCATGGCTGAATCTTTAACACAATGATGAGTGAAAACACAATTAATGAGGATAGTCAAGTATTTCAATTTTTTGCAAGTCTATATTGTTTTCATATGAAATACCGTCACTTAAAAAATCAAGGAAGTAATGGATTCACAATTCAGGATAATGACTAACTTTCAAAAAGAGACGAAGATTGAAATCTGAGAAAGGTGCAACTTCAAAAATTGGGGGCATTATTTATATCTTACTCTGAGTTTAGGTGTCCAGTTATTATTTTTATTATTTATTGCGAGGCATATCCATTTTATGTGTATGCTACATTGCTAATTCTTTAAAAGAATTCACGTTCATAAACAAGGGGTCTTGCTCAGCCATGGAACCCCAAAACAGGAAACCTAGAACATCAAACCGTAACATGCCCATAATGGCATTATCCAGGAGAGGAAGTATCTTAGTCCATTTTGCTTTGTTCTAAAGGAATATCTGAGGCTGGGTAAGTTAGAAAGAAAAAGTGGTTTACTTGGTTAAAATATCGACAGGCTGGACAAGAGGCATGGCACCAGGTTCTGCTTCTAGTGAGGAACTCAGGAAGCTTTTAATCATGGCAGAAGAAGAAGCGGAGCCAGCGGACCATGTGGTGAAAGAAGGAGCAGGAAATGAGGAGGTTCAAAGCTCTTCTGAACAATCACATCTTATGAGAAGTAATACAGTGAGAAGTTACTCATTACCTGGAGAGAAGGCACAAAGTCATTGATGAAGGATCTACCCCCATAATCCAAACACCCCCTACATGGCACCACTTTCGACATTGGGCATCTACTTTTTTATGGCCTTTAATTTTGCTTTTATTCAACTTAGTTCATTAAAATATATTTATTTTAACCATCATATAATGTGACTACCAGCTAACGTGGGATATAGGTTCACCCTTCAGCATGATATTTCTTTAAGCAGGATTTCTTATAGGAATGTTATTGATTGTACAGTAGTTATGATAATGTCAGATATAATTATATATACAATTTAAAGGAGATAGGCCAGTTAAGAATTTGTATAATATAAAAATACCCAGATTAAAACTTTTCCAAGTGGACAGATATATGCAACAGGGAGAGCAGGTAACAGGAACCCTTTGAATGATCAGTCAAAGGCCCAGATGCAGGAATTTTGTTTTCTCCTCCATTATAGCAAACAACGTTCACTAACAGATACAGGTCTTCCAGGTACATCTAAACGCACAGGAGTAAGTTGTGAACTGCTACCTGTACAGTTTAAAGTGGTGTAGTCGTGATCGTCCTGTGATATTCCCATCACAAGAGTAAATAGTGAACCCCATGCAAGTAGTAGGAAGTATTAGTCTTTTATCATAGGCTGGACTTGAAAAGGTTTAACTCCTGACATTAATATTTGTAAACAGACAAGGCATGGTGGCTCATGTCTATAATCCTAGCACTTTGGGAGGCTGAGGTGGGCATGTCATTTGAGATCAGGAATTTGAGACCATCCTGGCCAACATGGTGAAACCCCATCTCTACTAAAATACAAAAAATCAGCTATGTGTAGTGACACATACCTGTAATTCCAGCTTCTTGGGAAGCTGAAGTGTGAGGATTGCTTGAGCCTGGGAGGTGGAGGTTGCAGTGAGCTGTGAATATACCACTGCACTTCAGCCTGGTTGACAGAGTGAGACCCTGCCTCAAAAGACAAATAAAAATAATAATAAATATTAAAAGCCAGGCATTGTGGCTCATGCCTGTAATTCCAGTACTTTGGGAGGCTGAGGCAAGTGGTTCACTTGAGGTCAGGAGTTCAAGACCAACCTGGCCAACACAAAATACAAAAATTAGCCAAGCATGGTGCCGTGAACGTGGTCCCAGCTACTCGGGAGGCTGAAGCACAAAAATCGCTTGAACTTGGGAGGTGGAGGTTGCAGTGAGCCAACATCATGCCACTGCACTCTAGGCAGGGTGACAGAGTGAGACTCTGTCTCGAAGAACAAACAAACAATGTGTGAACAGCATATGTCCCCTTTTGCTAAGTTTTCTCCAAAACTGACATGGACTTAGAGTGGGAGAATTCTGATGGTGGTTTGATCTAACAGCGAACTACTGAACTACTGTTTAAAATGTGAGAACCTTTCGAAAAAATTAGCCAGGTGTGAAGGCATGTGCCTGTAGTCCCAGCCACTCGGGAGGCTGAGACAAGCCTGGCCCACTCCTTAGGCCTGGGAGATTGAGGCTGCAGTGAGTCATGTTTGTGTCACTGCACCCCTGCTTGGGTCATGGGGTAAGACTCTATCTCAAAAAATTTAAAAAAATGAAATAAAAAATAAAGTGTGAGAACCTTTAAATACTATTTAGTTACACACTTTAAAAAATGGGGATCATTTATAGCTTTAAGCCAAAAGGTAAAAGGGAATGCATCTGAATTTTTATGCTTTTAGTTTTGCTGCTCTGTGGTTTCTATGGCTGTCCTAAAGACTGACACTGGTACATTGCTTTTCTTTCCCAACGCAGACACCTAGTTTGAGCACTTAGATCAGACAAAACACAAAATAGAAGAAATGCCACTCGTTTTCTCTGGGATCTTTTGAGAAACTAGACTAAAATCATGAATTATTAAGATTTCATATTGAATGGCGGTGTTTTTATGTATGTAACTATCCAGAGAACAAATCAAATAGCTGCCTAAAACTTGCAAGAGCATGGACTTTTGGTATAGTTGTGTTGGGAATCAAGAACCTTGAGCAGCAGTTCACAGTCAGAGTTGTTTTCTTCCTTTCTTCCCTTCCTTTCCTTCTCATTTCCTTTCATTTCCTTTTTCTTTTCCTTTTTCCTCTCCTTTCCTTTCTCCTTTTCCCTCCCCTCCCCTCCCCTCCCCTTCACTCCCCTTCCTCTCTGCCTTTCTCTCTTTCTCGCTTTCTTTCATCTCATTCTGTGGCCCAGGCTGGAGTGCAGTGGTGCAATCGGCTCAGGCTACTGTGCAGTGGCACAATCTCGGCTCACTGCTATCTCTGCCTCTCAGGTTCAAGGTATTCTCCTGCCTCAGTTTCCTGAGTAGTTGGGACCACAGGCATGTGCCACCACACCTGGATAATGTTTGCATTTTTTAAATTAAATGTATTTATTTTACGTTAGGTGCATTTTATATCCAGCATTTCTCCCTGTGTTATCCCTCCCCACCTTCTCCTCCCTCCCCACTCCCCCCCGTTCCTCCCCTAACCCCCCCAACTGCCCCCAGTGTGATGTTCCTCTCCCTGAGTCCATGTGTTCTCATTGTTCATCACCCATCTATGAGTGAAAACACATAGTGTTTGGCTTTCTGTTGTTGTGTCAGTTTGCTGAGAATGATGGTTTCCAGATTCATCCAAGTCCCTACAAAGGACAGAAACTCATCATTTTTTATGGCTGTTTAGTATTCCACGGTTTATATGTCCCACATTTTCTTTGTCCAGTCTATCACTGATGGGCATTTGGGTTTGTTCAAAGTCTTTGCTATTGTACACAGGGCTGCAATGAAAATAAGTGTGCATGTGTCTCTATAGTAGAATGATTTTTAGTCCTTTGGGTATATACCCAGTAACGGGATTGCTGGGTCAAATGGAATTTCTGTTTCTAGATCCTTTAGAAATCACCACAGTGTCTTCCACAATGGTTGAACTAATTTACACTCCCATCAACTGTGTAAGAGTGTTTCTATTTCTCCACATCCTCTCCAACATCTGTTGTCTCCAGATTTTTTAATGATTGCCATTCTAACTGATGTGAGATGATATCTCAGTGTGGTTTTGATTTGCATTTCTCTAATGACGAGTGATGATGAGCATTTTTTCATATATTTGTGGGCCTCACATATGTCTTCCTTTTAAAAGTGTCTGTTCATATCCCTTGCCCACTTTTGAATGGGGTTGTTTTTGTCTTGTATATCTGTTTTAGTTCTTTGTAGATTCTGGATATTAGCCGTTTGTCAGATGGGTAGACTGCAAAAATTTTTTCCCATTCTGTTTGTTGCTGATTTGCTCTAATGATGGTTTCTTTTGCTGTACAGAAGCTCTGGAGTTTAATTAGATTAATGTTTGTATTTTTAGTAGAGACCAGGTTTCACCATATTGGCCAGGCTGGTCTTGAAACCTGACCTCAGGTAATCCGCCCACCTCAGCCTCCCAAAGTGCTGGGATTATAGGTGTGAGCCACCATGCCTGGCTAGAGTTATTTTCCTACAGACCCCATTTACCCTGTGTGTGTACCAACGACTACAGCAAATGCATTTTGAGGAATTATGCTTCACAATGTATGCTTAAAGATCCTCTTAGAAAGATTTCTCTAGTTGAGTAAAAACCCTTCTATAAAACACTACCAGGTTCTGTGAACCTAAGAAGACTCAGTGTCTCTCTGAATATCTTTAAATTACTGCTAGAATTGCAAGTTCCTATTTGGGGGTAAAACAATATTAAAATAACTTGAAGGTCTATTTTATTGGTAACTTAGAATGTAAAATATTTTATTTTAAAAATTCTAAAGTTTGAAAGCAAGCTAGCCTAGGTTAAATAATATAGTTCCTAGATCCGAATATGTTCATCTGGAGCTCAATTTTTCTGTTTAAATACAAGAACAACTTCCTAACATTTCTAGGTGGGAACACTGCAGTTTTGATGATCTGTGGTTAGATAAACTGACCGATCTCAGTTGCTAATACTCTTTTTTTTTTGGTAATGGTTTAAAAATTCTGGAATAAATGCATTTTTATCTAGTTTTACACTGACAATTTCATTCCAAAAGTCTATTGGGAAGCATATACCATATATAGGAAACCATCTTCATCTTTCTTACTCTCATACATTTCTGAAATCCGTGAGGTGACACTCACCGTTCTGTGCCCATTAACCAACAGGAAGAAGGCTTGATTAGCTAGTGCAGGGAACTTCATTTTATCCAGAACAGGTGGCTGTTTCTCACTTTTATATCCTTTTATCACTGGGATTCTGGTTGGATGCTGCTCTCTGATAAGTGGGACATCTACTCTGTCTTATGGTGCGGGCTGCTTGAAGGTCTTCTCATGAAGCATGGTGCTGGGGTGTGGGGGTTGGGGCAGGGGTGGGCTGGGCTAAGGCTGCAGGCTGCAGAGACCCTGAGGGTCTGGTGGCTCTGGAGAGGGGAGGAGAGGCAGAGTGGTGGTGGCTCTGACTCTCTTTGGGATCAAATTTTAACACAAGATTTGAGGGGACAAATATCCAAATTATATCAGGAAATCTTAATTGGCTTTCCATATGTCTTGACCCATTGCAAAGAATAGCTCCAGTGTTGGAGGGTGAATCAGGTTACTTTAAGCTGATGCTATTTTATCACTCTGCCTTTCGTATTTGCTTAGTAGGCAACTTTTTACTATAAATTGGTTTTTCATTTAAGTTTTTGTTTGCTTGGCTTTACATCTCATCAATTCATTTCATATATTTGCATTCTCATTTATTAATCCACTGTGCATTTATTTAGGGCTTCTATGTGACATGTACTGTTCTATGAACTGATAACACAGTGGTGAATCAAAGTGGCATTCCCTTCACTCATGGAGTATATAATATAGTGGATGAAAGAGAAAGTAGACAAATCAATACATAGATAGACCAGATGAAGCAGTAATGAATATTATGGAGAGAATTAAAGCTGTATAAATGCATATAGAATATGGTTTGTTATTTTAAATAGTACATTCAGGAAGGACTCCTTAATGGGCTGACATTTAAGTAGAGAGCTGAATGAAAAGAGAAATAGATCCTCAAATACCTAGGGTAAGAACATTCCTTATAAAGTGATATTGAGTGCAAATTATCTGAAATAGTATCACAATGTGAGTGTTCATGAAACTTCAAGGAGGTTGTGATTGAAACAGTGCAAGTCAACTTCAGGGAGAGTGACAGGCAATGAGACTGGAAGAAGCCATGGCCAACTAAACAGAGCCTTGTTGACCATTATAAGGAATTAGAGTTCTTTATTTTATTCTAAGTGTGCTGGAAAACCTTTGGGAGCTTGTGAGCAGGGGAATGCATTATGTGACTTACTTATTAAAAGGATGACACCTGCTATTGTGTGGAGAATAGCATGGGAGAAGAGAGAGAAGATGCACTAAACTATTGCTCTAATCCAGGTGAGAAATTAAACTGGCTTAAATTAGTGTTGGAATGGTAAAGGTGGAGAAAATTAGTTAACTTTGGAACATATTTTGAAAGTGGAAAGGACAGCATTTGCTGATGAGTTGAATATGAGTGTGAGGTGAATTAGGCTATTGGCAAGAAACACATGCCAGTTGGGTAATTGGAAGCAGTTCAACAAGTGGGCTCTTTACAAAGGTGAGAGCAGGCTAAATCACAAGGGAAACATGCGGACATCATTGCTATTATGAACAGGAAGACACTATATCTCTAAGCCAAAAGGTTTAGAAGGCAGAGAGAAGTTATCAAAAACCTGAGATGAAAAGTGGAGTGTGGAAAGGCTGGCTTGACATTAGCCATCCCTCTGTGAACCCATAGGGAGGGAGCCAGGGAAATAAATTCCCCAGATTCATTTTCCTTTCTGTGCTTTCCTGCTGGTGCTTCCCACTCAATCACATTAAGAAGGGAGGAGAAGGAATCTGGATGTTTAAATGTAAGCTATCCAGCCTTTGGTGGACAGGAAGGAATCAATGGTAACTCCTAAGTATTTGACAGGACTAAAGGGTTAATGGTGGTGACATTTACTACAGTGAGGATTAGAGATGAGGATGGGGAATCAAGAGTTCTGTTTTATTTACATCAAGTGTAAAAATGTACATGAAACATTGAGAAAACAGAAGCACTGAGCTGGCAATTGGATATACATGTCTGGAATTTACAGGAAAGATTATAAGTATAGATATAAATTTAGAAGTCATTAGTGACTGGGAGTAAAGGAGATCACCTAGGGAGTGACTATAGTGAGAAAGCAAAGATCTGAGGACTAGGCATTGGAAAACTCCAACATTTATTTTAGGAAGAAAAGGAGAAAACAACCATATGGAGCAGAAGGAGCAGCCAGTTATGTAGGAGAAAAATATGAGAACATGAAGAAAATGTAGAAATTAATTTACAAAGGTGGGAGTGACTGTCTGTGCCAAATATTGCCAACAGGTTAAGATAAAGCCTGGAAGTGACCACTGAATTTGATAAGAGGGAGGTAACCAATAACCTATTGTAACTCCTTTATAAGACTTATGAGAAAAAATCTTGGCCAGGAATGTTTGGGGAAAGAAAGGAGAGGGAAGAAATGATGATGGTGAGTGAGGAGAGACATCTCTTATGAGTTTTGTTGCAAAGAGAAGAAGAGAACTAGAGTGATAAAGGGAAATGGGGTCAATAGATTTTTTTAAATCAGGGTTATCAGAAGATGTCATATACTAATGATAATGATTCAGTAGTGAGGGGGGAGTTGTAATGCAGGGGGGATAGGAGAAGTTTCTGAAAGTCTTAAATAGGGGAGAGGAAACAAGATTCAATGCACAGGTGGAGGGCTTGTAGCAGGAGAGGAGACCAAATATTTGGCATGGAGGCAGGCAGGTTGTTAGATCTTGTGGTGAAAGAATATGCATATTATCTTCTAACTGCTTCCATTCCTGAAATGAATAAAGAAGCAAGGAAATCAACTGTGAATGAGGAGGAATAAATCTGTGCTGGAACTTTGAGATGGAAGAAGGTTTGGAACTGCCAACTCAGACTGAGAGAATGAGTCTAATAGAGATATGAAGATTTGCTGTCTGGAAGCAGATACAGTCCACTTGTAGTTTCATGACACAAACATAAAGTGAGACAGCATTGCTATTTGTTTATCTCTAA